AATCAGCTCCAAGAGTCGTATGATATCGGGTTTTAAAACCTAGGACTAAGAGCTTAGGGTATTAAACGAGTTGATTAATTTTTATCATTTTTTTTTAATCTTAAAAATAATTTAAAAAAATATTTGGATAAAAAAACATAAAATTACTCGAATTTTTTAAGGTTTAAATTTAAAATTATAATATTATAACATGTCACGTCTTCACAACGATTTCCACTTAGCCGTTAGCCGTAAGAGATAAGACGATGCCGTTTCAGGAATTCCGTAATAAAAAAAAGGAACGACAACGGATTACGCAGAAAAGCAAGGTGTTCCGTTCCGTTACATGAAACTGCATGGAGCGTGGGACCCAGACGCAATGGAAGAATGAGGTGGATTGACGTGATGGTCCACATAGAGAGAGAGAGAGAGAGAGAAAGAGAAAGAACACGTGGCGAAAATAAATGGGAATTAAAAATAATATAATATTTGAGATACGTTGCTTGTGGAGGGAGGAGAAGAGGGTGAGATCAGGTGTGGAGAGGGTCCATGGAGTGTTCCCATTCCTCGTAAAATGAAATATTCGTGATGCCACGTAATGCGTGTGAGTTAGTGGGCCCCACCTCCCACCGACCATTCATTCAGCCTTTGTCCCCTCCCTCCTTCCTTCCTCGTTCTTCCCGCCCACAAAATTCCTATTTTTCTTTTTTAATTCTTAAATGATTATTATTATAATAAACTTTTAAATAAACACATGCTTTTTCTCAACTACCCATTTTTCTAATTTTTAAGTCCTCAAAATTAGAATTTGGTGTTTATTAGCCCTTTAAAACTTTAAAAATATCAAATTAATGCTTTTTAATTTTCTTTTTATATTTAATAAATTTCTCAAAAATTTAAATTAATACCTCATTTTTAAATATTTCGAATTTGAGAATATAAATAACCATGTTCATATGATTAAACTTTAGGTTAGTTTTTAAATTTTATAAAATCGAAAAATTCACGTCATTTTTTTGGGTCAAATACTCGAAATTGAGTGACAACTTAACATAACCTTAGTTTTAAAAATATTATAAAAATTAAGAATATTTAACCTTTATAACCTGATGTGTTTGTGACTAGTGTATGCTTGATATATTTAGCGTTATGAAATTTTAGTCATTAATGTAACATGTATAATAGATATATAAAAAGAACAACCGAACAATTCAACCAAAAAACACAGGATTGCATGGGATTGAATTGTAAATTTTATTAGATCCAACCGAGTGATATTTATTTTAAATTAGATTTAAAATTGTGAGAGTAGAGAAATTACATAAAGGGTAGCTTCCTTGGCTTTTGGCAGAAGATTGAATAATGTATTTTGAGACTGAGATAGGGATAGAGATTGTCTCCTATTGCACATTTCCCCATCATTTTTTTTTTCTTTTTTTTGTTTTTTTTTTTCTTATCTATATTTGTGTTTTCTTTGACTGGAAGTTTGTTGACCAGTCAACTGTGCTATTGTGTGGGCCCCACTCCTCTCTTTTCCCCACCTGGCCCCACCACATCCTATCCATCTCCAACACTTCCTATTACATTATTTCATTCCATTTCCCTTTTTTCTGTTTTTCTTTTCCAATTTCCAAATTAGTAATTTCCTTTTTTTTTTCCCCAATTTTTTCATTTCATTAACTTACACTATAAATTTAATTCATTATTTTCATTTTTTCTTTTCATTTAATTTTTTTTATAATTTTTTAATCTCATTTTCTTTCCAATCTTATAATTTTTTATTTATTTTATAATGGGTTGAAAGTATAAATAATATTTTTTATCAACAAATTTTTAACCCAAATTCAATATTTTTTAAAATACAAAACTCGTTTGTAGCAGAAAACCTCGATGACATAATCATTTATAGTCATTCACAAGAGGTTTGGAGACCAGAGTACAATATTCCAAGTGTAGCAGGAAATGAAGTTGTACGTAAAACGATGCTCATACGAAAATGCTATTTCTTAGCTATTGGATCAGCAAGGGTGTGATACCATTGATTCAAGAGAAGATCAAATCTGTTGTGGACTAAGAAGTGCCAAAGAAGAAGAGCACAAACAACTGTCACATCGGTTGGAGAGGGGAACAAAACATTCTTTACAAGGATGGAAAGTTTTCTCCCTAGCAAACGCATTTTAAAAAATTTCTCTTAAATGAATGAAAATCATCCATTATTTTCTTAATAAAACAAAGACTAAACTAGCTTAGTTAATTCAAAGATTCCATCTTTTTTCCAAAAAAAATAAATAAAAATAAAAATAGACAATCAATCTAATCTTAATTTTTATTTTTGTAAACCCAAGGAGAATCTTCATTCCCCAAATCCCATGATTGTCTATTCATACATGGAAAATCTTGTATAAATTAATTAATTAATTAATTATATGCATATAATAATAAAGCAATAATATTTATTAAATGATAGGGATTCAAATGGTAATCATAACCAAGATCTATCATGATTGCATGCCTCATATATTATTATTCATCTTATATTATAAAGTTTTAATCTCCCAAAACATTAACATTAAATTTAATCAAAATCAATCCAACTTAACCATGGTTTAAACATTAAACCCAAAGTTTAGATCGGTTTGATTCAAACTTTATTAAAATTATTGGAGAATAAATAATCAAAAAATAATTATCTAATTAAATAAAAATATAATATAGTTTTTTTTTTTTTAATTTATGTGAATATTTGATCATATAAAACCTAAATATATGTAGAAAGTACAATTCATTTTCCCAAAGTAATCGTACTTTGTTTCTCTCAAACACATTTTGAAAATGAATTTCCCAAGAAAATTCCTTTGTTCATGATGTGTCCAAACAATAATATCACACATAGTTTTAAACGTAAAGAGATGATCAAGAATATATTCCCCTTTTATCTCCCATCAATTTTCATCTTCCTTTATATCAATACCCTTCCTCGTCTTTATCTCCTACCTGCTCGGTTCTTCTTTTTCTTATCTAAAAATAACATTCTTTTATATTTCATTATGTACCGTTTAATACCCATCTGATAGTTTGCAAAACCCGATTCAACAATTAGCATCAGAATCAGGTTGGTCATCAAATTTTCAAAAAACGAAAAGAAAAAAAGTATTTTATTAATTGTTCATATCGGATGATAGATAAGTTCAAATCAAATCTTGTGGGAAGATACTAATAGGAACAGAAAGTACAAAAGTATGCATGCTTGTATATAATATAGTTTTATAATAAGGAATGAAGCATATATTATTGGGAGATTGTAGTACATTTTGGACTATGGTGTAAACATTTAATTTTTTATTTAGGCATGCAGTCCTACTTCTTTTTTTATATTACAAAATATTCAAATAATTAATGTTTTAAAAAAATTACAAAAAGGGACGAAGTACATGTTAATTATCGAATTAAATATCTTTTGGCTCCGTCAATTATGTTTCTATTATTTATAGGGGTGTATACGGGTAGGGTTGAGTTCAGAAAATCTTTTGAATCAACTCAAATTTTTGGGTCGGTTGAGTTGATGACCCGAGCAACTCGAATAGAGTTTATGACCTAATCTAACCCAACTCAATCCTGTATTTTCGAGTTCGGTTGTTTTTTTTTTTTAATTATTTAAAAAATCTTACTTATATACTACACATATTATATTAATAACTAAAATATTATAAAACTCAGAAATCTAATATTGTCGGGTCATTTGAACGCTTCTAATTATTTTTATTATTATTTTATTAAAATAAGATTGAAACTATATGTTAAAAAAAAAGTGATGAATAAGTTTGGTAAATGAATATAATTTTTAGCATTAAAAAAATAGAGGATAGAAAGACAAGGGATGTCCACCCTGGCGGCAATGGAGATCGTTTGGCTGCTTTGTCTTTAACCTCACCTCCACGTCATCATTTTCAATCAATAAAACAACAACAAACAACAATAATAATAAAAACAAACAAACAAACAAACAAACAAACTATTTTAACTTCTCATCAATCAATTTCAATATAATACTACGTGGGACCTATTCATCTTATATTTCTCCCTAAATTATAATTTTATTTGTTTTTAAATTTTAAAAATATTTAATTCATTTTTCAAATTTTTCAATGTATTTCTAAGGAGCATGATAATTTAGTTAATTCATGATTTCCAATTCGCATGTATTTCATATATTTTGCTAGTTTTATGATTCTTGTCGTTGTCGTTGTCGTTCTTATTATTGAACTGACTATGAAGGGTTTCTATTTTTTCACTTGTAACAATAGTTGAGTGATGTAGTAAAATTATAAATATTTAACGTTGTAATTAGGGATGTTCATATGACCCGAGAGCTCAACTAACTCAGGCTATCCAACTCAAACCATAAATGCTAGGTTGGGTTAGATTTTTTTCAATTTGGGTTAAGTTGGTCGAGTCAACCCGAGCAACCCAAAATTAAGGTTACTATCCAACCCAACCTAACCCTAGTTTTAAGATGAAGATTAAAAATATTTGAGGTTTGTAAATCGATATTAGTGATGTGTTGTGAGTTGTGAATGGTTGATATTTGAATTTTATGAAATTTTAGTTATTAAAGTAACATGTATCGTAAATAAGTAATAAAAGCATCCGACAACCCAACACAACACAACTCTCTACTGGTTGAGTTGTGAATTATATTTAGGTTCTGGAAATTTGATGTTTGTAATTTAATAATATTATTTATTAAAATGAATATTAAATCCTCCATGGAAGGAGAATGTGTGTTGTTCTCGTCTTTTAATAATAATAACAAAAGAATACCAACTCAGAAGATCCTAGAGAGAGAGAGAGAGATTGTATTGGAATGAATGTTTGGGACATTGGGAAAATATAGTGCAAAAGTGGGGACCAAATAGCAAATTTATAAAAATATTAACAAATAAAATAAAAAATAAAAAGATTCTTCCATTCCTATCATTGCTTTATATATTTACCCTTCTTCCCTTCCTCTCATCATTCCCTTTACTCTTCTTCTTCTTCTTCTTCTTCTTCTTCTTCTTCTTCTTCTTCAGTTCATCCATGGATCTTCCCACTGCTCCTCACCAGGTAATTGCTTCGTGTTCTTCGTGTTCTTCGTGTTCTTCGTGTTCTTCGTGTTGTTATAATTTCTGGGTTGTTTTCAAAATTCAAACTTTCCTTGATTATGAGTACTAACACTATGCATAATTCACAGCAAATTGACACAAATTCAAAGGAACAAGCCAAAAAGCCAAGGCCACAGCCAGAGCAAGCCTTGAAATGCCCAAGATGTGACTCAACCAACACCAAATTTTGCTACTACAACAACTACAGCCTCTCTCAACCTAGATACTTTTGCAAATCCTGCCGCCGTTACTGGACTCAAGGCGGCACCCTCCGCAACGTCCCCGTCGGCGGTGGCTGTCGTAAAAACAAACGCTCCTCCTCTTCCTCTTCCTCGTCCTCCGCACTCGCCGCCTCCTCTAAGAAACCCCAAGACCATCCCTTTGCCTCCCCCGTCCCCGCCCTACCTCACTTGGCTTATGATCACCAAGCCAATGACCTTAGCCTCGCATTCGCTAGACTTCACAAAACCGGGACCGGGACTGGAACTGGACCCTCTTCATTTAACGACTTTGATTTCTCCGTTTTTAACGGATTTGGGTATAATTCTCAACCTGTGTACTACGACAACGACAACAACAACAATAACATGGGAGGAGGAATCGAAAGATTACACTCGTACGATCATCAATATGGCAATGTTACAACGACGGCGACGGCGACGACGGTGACGACGACGAAGCAAGAGGTATTAGGAGGCGGAGGCGGGGGCGAGGAAAGTCGAATGCTTTGGGGGTACCCGAATTGGCAAATGAACAATAATTCAACAGATTCAAACATGATGGGTATGGATTTTGATTCTGGAGGTGTTCGTGAGAGCTGGAATAATAATGTTTCTTCATGGCATGGTCTTCTCAATACCCCACTCATGTAATACTCTCTCATAGTTTTAGTGTTTTTTTTTTTTTTTTTTTTTTTTTTTTTTTTTTTTTTTTTTTTTTTTTTTTTTTTTTTTTTT